CACCCACACTTACACCAACACTCACATCCACACACCCCACACTCCACACCCACACTCACACCCACACACCCCACACCCCACACCCACACCTACATCCTAGACATGGAACACAATGTTTTTGTTTTGCTTGAAGATGGATGAGATGGATGTGAATGTGCACATCAGTGTTGATCTCCTCTTCAGCCACCGTCACACAACCAAATCCACATTTAGATCCTAATTTATACATGTATCGAATTCATTTAATCATTCTATAGGAAAATTTCCTTAATATTAAATAAGCCTCATATAATCTATCAAACGGTTATAAAATAAATCTGATGAACCACTGACGTTGCTATTTTTTTATCATTAAAATATTCTTTTTCAACGCAGATTTAATCTAAAATGCATTGAAAATCCCGATATGAGTAGTTCATTTATCAAGTTCGAATACTGAATTTAGAACAAAATAAGTTTGCATCAAATCTAGTACATGCAAAAAGGACTGAATAGACGTCGTATTCTTTTCTCCATCCCATCAAAAAAGTAAGATTATTCTTTCTTTTTATTCGACCAAGAACATTTTGCGCACAAATAAAAAAAACAAAAAGCATCTGCTTGTTTATCACGTTTCATGATATGATACGAACTATCAACAAAGAAGGTGATAATAATATCAACTTTTAAATGTCTCAAATATGCGATATTCCAACATGCAAGCGCAAATCAATTGCAATTTGTCACTGTTGTAAAGAGAATTTGTGTTTAAATCACTTGAAAGATCATCAAGAGCTGCTCATTGCTACACTAAATCCTCTGGCTGATCGAATTAATGTAGTAAGTGATCTTCTCAAGACAATCAATATCGATCATATTTTCGGCGACTGTCGGCAAAAACTCACCGAATGGCGTAATAATGGGTATCGGATGATCGATCGTGTGTATGAACAGAAATGTCAAGAACTCGAACAACGTGTTGGCAGAGTAATAGATAAATACCGAAATTCTATCGAAGAAACACAATCTAAAATTGCTCAAATGATCCTTGAACAAGAAGCAACACGTCAAGATATTGCTTTATTAACAAAAACTAGTTCTGATCTCGAAAAAGGCATTAAAGACATGGAAAAAATATATTTTCAAATTGAAATTCATCCTTTAGTTATTGAAAATGATCAAATTCATATTATACAGTCGAACACGAATGAATATGATTTCTCCTCTCTTCCATCTCCAAACAAGAGAATCGATTATTCTAAAGAAAGTTCAGCAGCGATGACCAATAGCCATCGATTTTTATTATTACATATAGAACCCAATCTATGTTTGATTAATCAAGAATCGGTTGTAGTACAACAAAAACCCTGGAATTATGGAAGAATTTATGATATGTGTTGGTCACCAGCACTGGTTCAATTTATTTCAATCACAAATGATGGTCTTTTTCTTATTGATGAGAAAACATTAGCAATAACAAAGGTACAAATCAATCCGAATGTTAAATTGGGGTCCTGCACATGCTCTGATGACGCTCTCTATGTAACAACATGGGAATATGGCTCGTCAATTTTCAAATATGAACTTTTACCATCAATACAATGGATCCAGGAATGGCAGTCTCAAACTATATGTACTTGCCAAGAAATAATTCAGGATATGACTTATAGTGACGATGCACTTGCTATATTAATCAAGGATAAATCTACTAAGACACTTAGCTTGGAACTACGATCGTCAAAGACACTCGAACTAGTTTGGTCTTGTCCATTGAGTATAAAATATCATCGTATCTTTAAATTTCACTGCTGTTTGGTCAATCAAGATGGATAGCTTGTTGTCGATTATGAAAATCAACATCTTCTACATGTAAAAAAAGATGGGAAAATAAAAGAAACGTGCGCATACAGTTCGCAACCTCGATGTGCTGTTCTGTTCGGTCTGAATATACTTGCCGTTGCAACTGAAAATAACGTAAACTTCCATATAATATTATAAGCGACATCGATTTAATCGAGTTTCTCAAAACTATTGTTGCTGCAGTACGTTGAATCCCATTTAATTAAAATTAAAGATGAAACAATCGCATTCTTGACATCATAATTTTATTGAAACTCAAGTTTTTTTGTTCTAAAATAATATTCAGAGGTTTTCCCGTAACAAAAGATTGAATCACACCTGACTAAACAGAATCACTTGATAATCTATGAACTTCTGAAACCATGCTCATATGATGGATTTCGAATGGAATTTTACAGTAGAATTTCATTAAAAATGAGCATGATTGTTTTCAATTTAAATAAAGTGAATTGAATCATATAGAAGGTGGGGGGGGGGGGGGGGGGGGCGGGTGGTCGTGATGTGAATAGGGGTGTTACTTTATTTTTATGTTTCGTTATAGTAAAGAATAAAGTAAAGACAATCTTTATCTTTATTTTATAAAGAATAAAGATAATCTTTACTTTAAAAATAAAGATAAAGAAATAAAGAAATCTTTATTTTTTAAAAAATAAAGATAAGGTAAATCTTTATATTTATAAAATAAAGATAAAGATAATCTTTATTTTTAAAAATAAAGTTAAAATAAAGAATAAAGAATAAAAAATAATTTGTCTGGAAATTACAACAAAATAAGTAAATCATTGTTGTTAACAACAGATAATGTTAATCAAAACATATTTTGTTATGTAGAAATATTTTTTGTCCAAAACAAGCCATAATACAAAATCAGTAAAGTGCCGAAAAAAAAGTTATAACTGTATTCATAGTCTTAGAATAGGGTGTGAGGGTGGGTGTGGATATGGGTATAGGTACGATTATTGATGTGGATGTTCTCATCATGCATACTAACACCCAGAACCATAGCCTAAACCCAACACCCACACTCAGACCCTTCCTCTCCCTCTCTCCCTCCTCTCTCTTGTTCTCTTTCTTCATTTGTCTAAAATGCACCTAATGCATTCGGAAAAATCATTTCATACTATATTTTGCTCATTTTTTTTCTCAAATTGTAACCAATTATGCATTAAATATGTCAGATGAATGTTATAAGCGTTTCTCTATGTGTGTATGTAAAACAGGGAATAAAGTTTCTCATATTAAAATATTGTAGTCAAGAAGTTAAGGATGCACATCAAATATATGAATGACGAAAATTGAGGGTACGAATATATTTATCGCATTGAGCAACATTATATTTATTATCTCTGATAAAATAAATGCTAAAATTTTCATTTCATTTTATGGGGACCCCTTTTCGGGATTTTCCGAGAACGATTCATCAGAAAATTTTGAAACTTTCACAGCTGATATATCTCTACATGTAGAGTAAAAGTTGTCATAGACTCAAAATTTTGTAACGCCTCCTTCTAAGAATATTGAGGTCACAATGGCTAAAAATCACCCTTGAAATCGCCCCCGTTTCTCAGCTGCTATGTGTGCTACAGAGCTGAAATTTGTTTTACAGATACTAGACACTGTTTCTGGGACTGCTTTTTTTGGTTTCTTTCTATCTTATTCTATTCGAAAAAAAACGCCCAAATACGAAGAGCATCCTAAAAAGTGCCTATTTTTTCGGATAGTGCTTGTCTCATGAAAACTGAAAAAATTCAGTAGTATTATTTTTTTAAAATAAACAAATGTAGCTCTCCTAAACTGTCCCTAGTATTTATAGGAAAAAATTTCAGCCCGTTCGGGTGCGTCGTGCCTGAGAAACGAGGGTGATACCCTTAATTTTTGCTGAAAAATCAGATTTCTAGAAAACTCGTAAAGAAAGAAAAAATCGTGCTATACCTCAACGGGAATCATGATGTCTTTTCGATCTTATTTTTAATATAAGGCAATGTTTGGGTTCTCAAAATGTGATCAATAGACAGAGGGCACTTGAAAGCACATGTAGAGCAGAAAAACCAAAAACCGAAGGATTTAAAAATTTTTGGTCCGGAAAGGGTGGTTTCCTTAAGATGACTAAGTAACGAAGTGAGTTCGAAGCTAGAGTTATGCAATAGAGCTCAGATAGGAAAATAAATACTCTTTTTTATATGATATTCACCGCGGTTGATATCTTATTCAAGAGAATTTAAATATTTAAGACGCTAAACGTGTCATTTGATGATAGATTTCATCGTTCTTCTTCTTTTACATAATCGAATCCGGAAAAATCCGAGATACAACATTTATGCATGGCTGACATGGTTGATAAAAAAATTGGAAGAAAATAGTTAATCAACTGTAGTCAAGCCATCTCCTAAAAGCAAAGCGATTTCGTCATTGAATATTGTTACCAGCGTTTCATTTACGTCAATGTCAAAAGATGATAACTATGTTGCAAAACGAACCAAGGAAGAATACAATATTTTGTGCAGAACTTTAACTGAATTAGAGTCATAGCCATTTCCACAATAAAAGTTAACAGTTTTTAAAAGAATAATATAGTTAACTGAAAAGGTCATGAGTAAGATTTGATTTTCATCTCAGTTATTACAAAGAAATTTATTGAAATAACTAACATATGATTTAGAAAAGCAATCCATTGAAATAAAGAACGGTATTAGCATATTGTCACTTTTTACGTATTATATATTGTATTTATTTTTCAATTAATAAAAATAATCCTATGAAATAACTTTTAATTAATACATATGTATTATTGTTATAACATGATCTATTTATTTTGTCGAAATTTCTAAAAAAAACTTTTTTTATTCTTTATTTCAACTTTATTTTTAAATATAAAGATTTACCGTATCTTTATTTTTTAAAAAAGCTTGTTAGCGCAGCTCCTTCGGAGCTGAAATGTGGAACTCACGTATATCCTTCAACCTTGTTGTCCTAATACATCATCCGTAAACTGAAAAAATTCTCGTCAACTGTAGTTGTTTTCACTAATAATCGATGACAAGAGCGAGAATTTATTATTTATTTCTACATTTAAAATAGAAATTTTTTTTTCAACGGCGCCCTATTTTTTGTTTGCATTGTTGCTATTCGCTCATTATTT